ACGGACCAAAATGCACAGCAGATATTGTAAAATAAAAAGAAATTGTTTGAATGGAAAGGGGAACTAGGGAGGAGGAAGGGTAAAGCAAGAAATGGGAAATAAAAAATGAGAAAAAAGTAAAATTGAAGCAAAGGTTTTGTAAATAAGGCGGAAAAGTGGTGTTGAAGGGAAGGGAGGTGTTCAAGCGGAGGGGAATGGGAAACAAGGAGGAGTCAAGATGCATCCTGTACAGGGATGTATATCATCCCCTGTGATGAAAATGCTCATTACCTATATCTAAATTGTACCAAAAACGTAACTTACAAAGTCTGCTCCTTATTGTCAGGAACAGAAATATTTGGGAAAACGTAATTGAAAAGTTTTGAATGAGGTAGAAATGATGACTGCAGAACTCTTCCAAATTCAGCATAAATCAAACTAAAACCAATGTAATATAATAAACATGATACCTAGAATAAATGAATTCCATTTTCACCGGGAATTGGCTATATTTCATCATTCAAATGAATCTTTTTTAAAAAATCACATGCACTTTTATGGATAGAGAACATATTTCTCTAATAGTAACAAATCAAGTACTTAATAGCCTGAAAATTCATCTGAAGACCTTGATATTCATCTGTGAATGATCCATTTGTCAGCATACCTTTGAAGGACATGGACTTTTATTTGTCAGATTCTGTGAAATGAGATTTTTAGTACCAGATTAATTTTTCTCCTGTCATGACTTTTTCAGCTTCCATATAACAGCAAAAGATGGAAAAGTCTTGTGTATTCAGTTCATTTCCTCACCTCTCCAGGAAAGCCCCCAAGCTACTACTGTGGCTGTCACTTATGTAACTAGAAAAAAAAAATCTGATAAAGACAGAGCACAAAAGTCTGTTTTGGTTTGCTTAAAATCTTGGGCTAAGTGCAATAGGAAACTGCATCCCAATGTGACTTTAATAGAACAATAGTAAACCAAGACTTTTATTTCCTCTCTGGGCGTTGATGAGCACATTATTTGGCATGAGTGAGGGATCAGAGCAGAGAATGGTTAGTGAACTTTGTCCCATTATTAAGTTTTCAGACTGTATCCATTTATGTTACCCACTCTGCACAAATTAATTGATTCCTCCTGTAATCCTGCTTCTGAACATAGTATTGGACTAAAGAAATAGGAAAATCAGATATGATCTTTATACTCCAGAGATTTTGGTCTAGTGGGGGAGCCTCTCACTGTCCCATTTGCTTTAAAAAGGAATGGACATGATAAACACAAAGATCCTTGCTAGCTCTACATTACTAAGCAATTTTTTTTTAATTTAAAGTGCTTGTTATTATCACTAATTGTTATACCTCACTATTTTTTCCTTATCTTAGTGAGCTTTCAATTAATCCCAAACTCTGGAGGCAAGGAAGATTAAAAGATAAATCTGAATAACTTGTAGGAAATGTATGCACCTTGAGACCACAATATTAAGTGAAATAAGTCAGACCATCAAGATTAAATATTGCAGGGTTTATATGAGAAACCCAAAATATAATTAAAGAGCAAAGTAAAAGATAATAGGAAATGGGGAGATAGATCTTGTTCAAAGGAAGAGAAACAAAAGATGGAGAGAGAAGGAGGGAGAGAAGAGAAAGAGGATGAAAGAAGAATTAAGATCATTTTAAAGAGCCAATAACCATGTTGTAAGATCACCGACCACTTAGCTCACAGTAATCATGCCTGAGATCTTCAAATATCGTCAGGCACCTTAGAAGCAATACATAGAAATTAGCTCATTGATGTAGACAGAGCAATGGTGCGACTAATGGCTATGGAATCTCAGTTTGAAAGTGGAGATGGTTCAAAGCTCTGTGATTGTTGGCCCAGGGATGTGGCTCAGGGACACAGCATCTGCCTGGCAAGCACAAAGTCCTGAGTTCGATTACTGGTACAAAAAAAAAAAAAAAACCTTCTGTAGTTAATAGCATCAAATTATATCATTAAAAGTGGTTCCAATGACACATTTAATGTTTATATACAGATATTGGTATATATCTATATGTAATCGTAAGTATAGATGTATACCGATATCTATATCTATATATATCTTTCACAGAACTCTAACAATTAGTAACTAAAATTAATATTCCATAAACCATTAACTTGTATTCTTTAAATGTGTGAACTGTTTGGCATATGGGTTGTATCTCAATAAAGTTGTTAAAAATAAACATATAAAGTAATGTTGAAGTCAACCCCTGTTTACCTGTCACAAAATGGGTGAATTTTTGTTCTAATCTTTTCATTTTTCTTCATTGTTTCCTTTTAGTAATTTCATACTATTACAGTCTCCTCCGTGGTTTTTCAACAGGTTTCAATTTTGTCGGTAAGGAGTGACAAAATTCATAAAGTGAATTCTTTTATGAGATAGACATGCTGACTAAAGTAAAATTAGAAATTCATATCAGATTTACCCTAATTCTATACTGACATATTTCTGTCATTCAGCAGGTGACCTTTCACAGTGTCTACACATAGCATAAGTAGGAGGAGCTTAATAATAATTACTGTGAACACATGAGAAGTTCTGGGAGAAAAATTAGTGTGGCCTATGCAACTTTCTATCATTTACTCACCACTGCTAAGTCATTCCCTGGTTCATTCCCAGAGGTGGTTTTGTTCTTAGGAACCTCAGCCCATAGCACCATCTGCCTATTAACAGATACAAGTTACACATTGCATTGTAAACCTGGTGCAGACTTGTTATTCTATAATCATTAGAATTGGCATAAAAATTAGTATTCAAATATGTATATTGTTGTCTACATATTTTAAGCAAATCTCTTTTTCTTGGGATGTCAAACAGATGATTGATGAAGAGGAAAATCAGTATCATAAAGTTTAGCAAACACATGGGATGACATGAGAAACTTACTTACTGAAAGGAGCTATAATTGATGTGTAATATTTTATTTTATAGATAGAAATGACATTAAGATTCAAGCTAAAGATACGGGAATCCCAAGAATGGAAGCCATACCTTTGACCTTGGAGAAATAAAAGTAATTTGAGGCTACTAATAAAATTTGAGATAGGAGGCTATTACATTTGCTCACCTTCCTCTGTTCACACAATGACTCTTTCCTCTTTGATTATAATTCCACATTCTTAAGCCCAGGAATCATCTTCCTTTTTTATAGTCATGTTATTCCTGAAATCTAAATATATTCATTTGATCATTTTAGTGGAAAATTATTTCAGATATCTGAAATAATTTAATACATCTTAATAATTTAAGACATCTTTCTGGCTTCAGTAAGTAAATTATTGTGGTCAGACATTTTATCAGTTTACCTGACTTCTGTGGGTCATGTTGGTCTGGCTCAAGTGGGGTCTGGCAGCCCAAAGTCATAACTGGCTGCCTGTATTATAGTCCTTGGTGTCTCTTGTGCCACACTTCTTTCTAGTTGGATTCCCAAACCTGTCCCTTCCATGTCACCTGCCTGGCCTTTGCACCATCTGTTCTGTCTGCTGGTTCGAATTTCCTCCTGCTTCCTGATTTCAGCCTAAGTTAATTTTTATGAGCCCTTCTTGTAAGTGGTGTGCCGTATTTACCTAGTTCCTAATTTCCTTTCAGCATGGAGACTCCCTACCTCATCTAGAGTCCTTCTGGGAGCAGCTCTGGCATTTCAACACTCTCCAAATTTGCACTGTATTCCTTTCTTAGTCCCCATTTTGAGAGCGGCCTGTCCTAACCCTATCCTCCGAGCTTTCTGCTTTGAGAAATTAACACAGACTAATTTTGAGAGAAGTAAATGCAAGAAGTTAAAAATAGTGCATTCACCCTAATTGGTTGAAACCCATAAGTATTACTCTGTTGGTTAACAAATTAACAGATACTTGTGGACGTATCTAAAGAAACATAGGTTATGATGATTTTTTTCTAATAACAATCACAAAATAACTGAATGTAACCAAAATGTAGTCTCGATGAGGGTGAAATATTTAATCTGTTACATATTTAAACCAATAGTTGAAAAGCAGTGGAGATGAGAAGCTTGGGAGGTACTGACTCCACAGGAGGTATGTTGGAGGCCAAACATAATTACTCAGATCAGCCTGTGAGACTCAGCAAAACCGTTGCTTCTCAGAAAAGGCCCATGGGGTTTGGGGAGATGACAATCAGAGGTCATCTCTGAAAATGTCTTCTTGAAAAGAAAATCAGTGAGTGATTCTTCTTTTCTGTTAGGATTTAGTGATGTATTATGGATAAACATTACTTAACAGTGTAGCCAATCTAGTAAAATATATTCATGTATTATGTATTTTTTTCCAGCTCCCCTTGAAGACCCAGAATCTCCACAGTGTGTGTGTGTGTGTGTGTGTGTGTGTGTGTGTGTGTGTGTGTGTGTGCTCGTGCACGAGCGCTCAAGCACATTCACATTTGAAACTTTTCCTTATACTATTACAAGTCATAGTTACATCATTTTTGTTCTTGTGATAGTTACTTTTCTTCATCAGTTTTAACTAAGTGTTCTGTGGCTGCTTACCTTCTAATAAACTTAAACGTATAAAAAGAAAATTACCAGTTAACTCAGGTGAATCACGCAGAGATCATCCAGTATGTGAGATTACCAAAGGCTCTGTGTGATTTTTATGAAAGGAAACACCAACAGAAAAGTCCTTCAAAAGACCTAAACTTAAATTTTCCAACTAAAAGTCTAAAGACCCTAACTCCATAATTTTAAAATTGTCTTCATGGTCAGGCAAATGGTCCTGCGGATGTAAAAGTTTGACACTTATATACATGTTTATTTGTTTGGGTTTATTTGGATCTAAATGCTAAAGAAATCAAGTTACATTTCAAGAATGTAGCTGTCTTGAGCAAAATTATGTCACACCAAAATTATGAAATACGTACATGAAAATAAGTATGCTGGATGTATAATGTGTTTCTGAAAAGTTTCTACGGATCTGCACTTCAATACTTACTTACCTATTTTTTTGTGGTGACCCTATGTGTTTTAAGGAAAACTGAGAGCAGTGGTAACTGTGCCTTTGTCAATCCAGTGTATGGCAACTGGAAAAACCCTGAGAAAATCCAGGTAAGTTGCAATCATGAATTGTATTATTGCAAAATCACAATCACACATTTAACCATAAGTGCATGCACACACACACACACACACACCCTGAACTAGTTTTGTTTGGACATGTTTCAATGCTGCAGCTAAGAGAAACTTCTTAATGGGGTGATTTCAATTAGGAGTAGAAAGGAGTTTCAGTCTATAAATGTATAACAAGAATTTTTCATTTCATGACAGTTTTGACCTGCTTTTTACAATCAGTTCACTGTTAAATGGCTTTGTAGTAACTGTTTGCATTCAGAGCTGAAAAACCTTGGGAAATATCAGTTTAACCCACAGAGTATTTGTCAGAAGTTCACAGTAAATATTCTTTGAGTGTTCAAGTTTTGTCTGAAAAGACTAAACAAAGTATCGCATTTTGTATTCTCTTTAAATTTAGATGTGAGAAGTCAGAATCCTTACCTAATAACATAGACGAAGAAAACAGAAATGAAAATGACTTGCATATTTCTTGACTGTTCGAGGGGAATGAAGTAACATGTAGGTTAAAGAGAAAATGTCAAGGAAAATGTGTTACTTATCTTTTTTTAATTGTTTACATCATTTTGTAAGTTTACTGAAATACTGGCAAGCAAAAGTTGGATAATTTTAAGTGATACATGATCATATAGAGAAATCATAACCATAATCAAGCAATTAACATACCTATCACTTCACTCTCTTCCCATTCATATGTGTGAGATCTCAAACTCTTAAATGTCCTTTCTTAGCAAATATTCACGGTACAATGAAATATTGTTAGTAGTCACCCTACTCTACACAAGCTCCCTCCATGTTATGTCTAGAAACTTTATGCCCATTCTGGAATATCATATCCCATTCCTAGATAGATAATATGAATATTCATCAGATATGAAATAAGTTTAGTCTTGACACATTGGGTCCTACATATGAAAGTTTCCTTATGTCTAAGTTTAGAAACATTATATCAGATATATTTTCATGTAAAGTAGAATATAGAGAAAGCAAGTTTTATTTTTTCCTTAGTAGATTATACCAAGTTTCTTATTTTGTTGTTTTCATTGAAATGACTATCAAAGTGTCATATTAGATAGTTTCTAGCAGTTCTAGAACCTTTGATGATGTGACTGGAGCCTAATATAATCCTTACCTTTTTTATTTTCATGTTTTCTTCAACCATGATGTGATGCATACTTTTGGTAATTTTTGGTAGAAATGAGAAAAAAAAAGATATTTCCCTGAACAGAAGAGAATTAGTTTCAATGATTTATCAAGTCAATAAAAGCAGAAATGCAGCCTTATAGTGGACAATGAGTACAAATAATATTTAAGAAACCAGACAGGAAGATACAATATAAACCTGTTTTCATTTTGATCAGAGAAAAGAAAATCTTTTTTAGCACAACCTGATATTACCTTTTAATATCTATAAATAAAATGATGGAAAGAATTAAAATGAAGTATTTTAGATTTAGTTATTAACAATAACATCTCACAAGTTTGCAGTAACTAAATGGAAGCTGCAAAGGTGGTATGCATTCTTGATTTTCTACTGGGAAGAAGCTTCCCTAGAATTCAGACCTTTGGTTCGCACCATGAGCAGAGTTCTAAATCAAAAAACCCACATTCAGCATGCTTCCAAGCAGGTTGTATATGCATACGGTGGATGCAATTGATAATTTTAGGGTAACTTCAAAGTGATTTCTTTTTATTTATTTATTTTCATTCTGGTAAAAGGAAAATTATTCCTTTTGCAAATGCCTTTTTTCTTTCGTTAAAAGATAACTGAAGAAATCCTGTGACAGTTACGTTGCTGTTTTGATTTCAATTATGTCAGAAAAAATTTTACATTAATTAAATCCATTTTTATTGATATTATAACAGAAAAGTAAGCTTCAGTTGTTATTGTAAGAAGTCTGACAGATGACTCCTTCTGCTATAGATATTTAGAGGATAAAGAAAGAACTGGCATTGTCCATATCAACCACCACCCGTCTTACTTCATTACTGTTTTCAGCTATTCCCTGAGCCTACGCGAGAAGTTTTAAGCGAGCCCTAGATATCTTTTGTAGTAGCCTTCCCATTGCTGGCCCACAAAACCTGACACCTACAAATCGGTGAAGCAGAGGTTTATTTGGCTCACAATTTCAGGAACGTTGGCTTATGGTTTTAGCAGGTCTATGACCAGCTTGCTGCAAGGCAGGAACATCAGGATAGAAAGAGGCGGCACAGCAAAGCGACTTAGTTCATGGTGACTCTGAAGCAGGCTGTTAGACAGCGCAAGAGAGGGAGGAGCCAGGGACAGATATAAGATCTAGTGTCAGGGCCCCTTCACTCACCAAGAGGCTGCTTTCCTAATCCCTTAGGTGGTCACCAAGGTGATCAACTAAATACAATTAAACACATCTATCACATCTAAAATTTCCAACTGTATCTTTAAGTTATAAGAAACTTTTGAAAAATGTAAGCAAAGTATCATACCAAAACATTTAACAGTGATTTCTTGATATCACCAACTATTCTTTACTGACCTACCCCCATTCTCTCCTGTATGAAGTAGTTGTTACTATATTTTTAAATCAGCATCTGTTTAAAATATATTTAAATTGATAGATATAATTTGGTATGTCTCTGCTCATCTCTAGGTTCCATTTTCTCTTTATTTTTTCTTCCAAATTATCTCTTGAAGAAACCAGCGAACCTTGTAGAACTTTCCATATTTTCAACTTTCTAATCCATGCTGTTATCTGTAACAGCTGTGGGTGTTTTTGTTTTTGTTTTTGTTTTTGTATTTGTATTTTGGTGATAGCCTGTTAAACCTAACTTTATTCAGTATAACAGGCTTAGAGAAACCACCACCAAATAAACAGGCAGCCATATCCTGACCACTGTGTACCTACATTCTACAAAAGGTAAAAATGACATAGTGGCACTCAGGTCCAGAGGATGCTGGGACCACAGACTAGCCCTGTGTCGAAGGTCTTTCAAGGTCTGCTAGAGATGCTGGAGCAAGGCCCAGGGCTGCTTCAATTTATCCAGCATTGAAAATCCAATAGGAACTTGGTGCATTTGACCCAATCCTTAGGGATAATTGTTATTTTAACACCCAAAATCCTAACTATAAATATGTATTTCTTCTCTAGAGTTCTGTATACTCCTTCTCAAATCCATTTTACGGCATGCCAACAACAAACCTGGAATCTATGTCTCATCATCTCAAACAGTAGAATCAAGATCAAGTTGGAGCCAACATGAAAATTCCACTAGAACCATTAGAAAATTCCATTCTCTAAGCCAACTTATATAACAGTAAAAGGAGAAAAAAATCAACTTACTGGTTCATGATAATTACACATTTTCAGAATTTTTTCTTTCAGAATATAATGAATTATAATCAATACTTTATCTTCAGATGAATACTTTAATGAAATGTTCTTAATTTGTTTTCCATTGATCACATGGTGGTTGTTTAAGTGATAAATATAATTGTTTGAAATCTTGAATGTAAAGATGTTTTAAAATGCTTTTCTTTTTTGTGCTATAATTTAGAAACAAGAGCAAACCTACTTGATATGCAAACTAGCAAGAAAGAACAAATCATAATCCACATACACAGAGTAAAATCTATTTCTATATTTTGAAAATATGTGATAAATGGTTGTGTACTTACATTTTTCAAATAATCATTGGACCCTTTTTATAGGTTTAAAATAATGTTAAAATAGAAGTTAAGAAGCATCACAGTAAAAGAAACTGAAAAACATCTGAATGACTTAAGTAATGTACCAGGCATCTTACGAATCATAAATGAAGAAATGCACACCTCTTTGATTATTGCAGTATTTCTAGGACCTCAGCAAGAACCTTGGATTTTTGACTTCTTTGCCCACACTCTAAGTTAGTTCCTCTGTAGATTAGATAATAGTCACATAAGATGCAGCATTATTGTATTAACAGTAAAGTTTAGAGACAGGAAACAGTACACATCTACTTGCATTTCATATTTTACACCTAGGAAATCTTCCCAGCATGCACTTCCAGAAACACACGGTTCTCATTGGTCAGGCAAGGCATTCTAAGCCAATCATTGAGAGAAAAAGAGGCCACTATGATGGCCCGAGTCTTCACTCTATCAGGGAGTCGGACCTGTGGAGCACATTGTAAGGTAGGTGGTGTAGGTACTGGAATAAAACTAGAATTAGAAATGATGAAGTTGTATACAATGCAAGTCTCTATACCATTTCATAAGAGCACAGGCTTGCTTAGAAATCATTTTTAATTAACTTTGCAGTAAATCAACCTTAAAGTGTATCTGAGTTAATTTTTGAATAATACTGTTTTACTGTATGTTAATCTTTTTTTGATTGCTACTTTCATAATAATAAAATTTCTGACTCAAAAAAATAATATGAGAAAAGATCAATCGTAGTTGTTTTGTTTTTTCTTTCTGTTTGGGCCCTGGCATTGTGGAAGCATTTTTGGAAGTTGAACTTATTTTTGCTGAAAACCGTCATCCCTATCTACTGAATTGCGTATCTACTGAAATGCGTATTGCCTACGCATACAGGAGTCTTTAAAAAGCATTAAGTCCAGAAGTGGGGTATGGTCTCAGTAAAGACCTCAAAGCAACTACATGAAAAATGTGAGAAAAGTATTACTTTATGACATTTATAATAAAAGTGATTATTCAAACTAAACTTGCCTGTTTGATAGGAAGACTGAGTGAACTCATAACATACAAAGTGCTCCAAAATTTGAATGATTACAGAAAATCAACAGAGGGGAAATGAGAGTACCTTCAAGAGTATTTAAAACTATCTTCATGTCAAGTTAAGTTATATGTACCCTAAAATGTTTTAATCAAACATTTTCTAAGATCTTATAAATACACATGGCACATAAAACTAGAGGAATAAAACCTTTCTTATCCAATCAACAGAATAGGTAAGAAACCACACTTAGTTTTCATAATTTAATATGAGATTTAGAGATAGACTATTTATTTCTCTTTGTATGTTTTCTCCTTTGCTGAAAACTTCTTGGTATAAGTCCACATGTGCATCATTGTGATTCTAAGATGCAGGGAAGTAGGAAGAAAGGACAACAAACAGAATACAGAGTTCACAATTTATGTAACTCAACTTTAAGTAATGAAAACATCTGGATTTTCACCCTGGCATAGAATTTGTTTGAAGTGATTTTTTTTAAGCCAATAGATATCGTGTAAAAATATATGAGCAATACAGAGAACCTATTAATGTACAGATATTTATTACAATAGCTTATTATTAACTGGATTCATATAACTAGACCATTTCCCAAAATATACTTTAATCATAAAACAATATTTATAATAACTCCAAACAGTAAAAGATACTGATTGTTGTTCTATTCTATATATTGTAACTTATAAATGTAGTATTTGTATACTATGATAGTCACTAGTGATGTATGGCTATTTACTATGAAATTTAAACCAATTATAGCTAAATATAGTGAAATTGTGATCCCTCAGTTGAATTAACCACGTTTCAGGAACTCTATATCCTCATGTGGTTGGGGGCATCCGAGTTGGAAAACACAGAAGAGTCCTAGCACCACAGAAGCTTTTTTGGACACTACCTTACAAAATTTTTCCAAGTATATTTTAGCTAGAAACAGCCCAATTTCAGACAATAATGATAAGTTACAAATAAGACAAAGCATACTTAGCTGAAGGGAAACTAGCAAATATACGTGAAGTGTCAATACCTTTTTGTCTTATGAATGTCACATATCATTCTATTACACCTTTATCACCTTTACCGTTTCCATCTTTTTAATATTTAGATGGTACTTTGAAAAACTAATGATTTGCTTTTCTCTTTCTGTCTTCTTTGCCTTCAGTCATTTCTCATACTTATTACACCAAAAACCAAAACCTCAAGTTTATTTAAAATACTGCCTCCTTGAGCTTAGCATGTAAGGTCATGCATTCAGGTAGACCAGTGACTATATTTGGAGCAATATCTTTTCCAGTAAGTAGCACTGAGCCTCATTCTTATAAACAAATCCAGAGAAAACACTTATTAATATGTAAAAAATATGTATTAAAGGATAGAGGGATTTTTACCCAAAATGCCTATATAAAAATAGAACTCCAAATATATATTTCACTGTCAAATCAATGACAGCTTCGTTATTCCTAATGCTGTTGTGCTTTTCTTTGTGTCAGCTTACAAAATGTTTTGCATTTCATTCATAAAATGTTTAGGAAACCACTGTGTAGTTTAAGATTTAAGTCAAGTAACCATTAAAATCAAGATCTTATCCCTGAATAATTAATTACAAGTGGAAAGACATCTCTTTCTACAAGCATGCACTTGGTGAAATTTCAGTAAAACTAAGTACATGTCATATTTTGAATTAAAGAACTCAGTTAACTATGAATTAGTTGAAGTATGCATAAAAATGATTATAAAATGAATCCATTTAAGATTCACACTGATACTGTCATTAAACATTCTGAAGAATAAGGTACTCTGAAGAATACATTTTTTCCTCTAGAATGTGGAAGAATAATAAGGAGTTTTATTTCCTTACTTTTGAAAATATTTGCCTTTTTTATTTGGACTTACGTTTGGCAGTTTTAGAGGCAACTTCCCCAGAACTTAATATTACTTGTCCAGAAGTCTATTGCTGAGATGTCTTTTTAGGAAATCAACATAATTATTTGTTGTTGATATGATACTGAGCTAATAAAAGTACTGCTGATTCCAGAGATCATGAATAACATGTTTCTCTAAGAATTAATTTAGCAATAGGTATTAATTAAACACTTAATTTTGCATATTAATTGTGCATAGCATGGTTCTCAAGAACAATATGGAGGGAGAGAATATATAGAAATGAGATAGAATTGGAGAGTGTTATGGTTGATATCTTGACGTCACTCAAAGCCTTATGCATTCACAGTGGGCCTTGGGGAGTGGGGCTTGGGAGGTGATTGGATCATGAAGCATGGTACTCATCAATAGGTTATAACTAAAGGTGATGCTGGTAGGCGAAGGCTGGTTGGAGGAGTGTGACAGTGGGGTTGTGCCTGGAAAGGTCTATGCCTTCTGTACTCCTTCTTGATTCTCTGTATTTGCTTCCTGACTGCCATGCCATAAGTAAGACACTTTTGCCACATCCTTCTGTCATGCCACCCTGCCTTGGCATCTGCTGACCATGCATGGTATCTTCTACAAACTGTGGGCCAAAATAAACCTTCTCTCTTTTAAATTGTGGGTGTCAGGTGTTGTGCTTCAGTGGTGAGAAAGTAACTAAGATAGAGATGGGTCAAACGAAAGGTATACATGTACGGAAGAGAGACTGGGAGGGAAGGACACACAAACAGAGAGACTCTTATTGTCTTATGGTTTTGATCCAAACTATCTTCCACAAATTGGGTTTGGGGAAGATGACTGGAGCACATTAGTGGATTAAGCCACGGATGGCTTCCTAGTCAAACAGCTGTTAGGAGGCGGGGCCTGGTTGGAAGGGGTAGTCCACAGGGAGACTCACTTGGAATGGTATCTTCTTGTGCCAAGCCCCTCTTCTCTCGATCTGACTCTTCCCCTGTGTTCTGCTTCTTGAAGTGAGCAACTTTGCTTCTTCCATATTCTCTGCCATAATGTTTATGCTTCAAAGGCAGCTGACCACGGACTGAAACCTCCGAGTTTTGAGTCGAAGTAATTGCTTTCTCCTGTATGTGTGGTATTTTGTCAGAGAGAGAGAGAGAGAGAGAGAGAGAGAGAGAGAGAGAGAGAGAGAGAAAGGGAAGGGAAGGGAAGGGAAGGGAAGGGAAGGGAAGGGAAGGGAAGGGGAGAGAAGAAGGGAAGGAGGAAGAGAAAAGAAGGGAGAGAAGAAGGAGGGAGAGAGATTTCTTGTTCGTGTTAAATTGTGATATTGGGACCTCACCCTTCCACTGCCCATCGTTTATTAAGACATCTTTACCGTGACCATAGCGAACATGGAAAGCCACGTCTCCACACCTGAGCAGCATGAGCCAGGTGGTTCAGTGGTTCCTCATGTGTCTGAATATCTGTAGTGATCAAAATGTCTGGGTCACTCCAAATCTGGGTTCCAGGAGCTCTGCTGTTGAGGAAGGATTCACTGGGACGGTCTTGAGGTAGTTCTTCTAAAAATGTAAAAAATACTGAAGCACTTGAGGAGACATGTAAATAACGCAAGAACTAAAATTGGCCAAGTTATTCTTTAAAATGTACTTACTAGAAAGTTTTAAGTGTTTGTAGTACCTAACTTGCTATGAATATCTTCATAATTTTTAATAAATGTGTATGTCTTTCCACAAAATGATTGCTCATGGGATTTTTTTATTAGAAAAGATATTAACTTTTACTTTTTGATGAAATCCATTTGATGAAGCATATCAAATCAGAGATTGTGTTACATAATTCAATAGAATAAAACATTTAACATTTTCATTTAAAATATTAATTGTTTGTAGAAGAAAATGATCCGAGTAGCCTATTCCCTGAGAATGGAGATAAAATATTACAGGGGTGCCAAGTATTTCCATGAACTAGAGATTTCTGAAAATATCATTGGTTTTTTAAGAGCACTAGAAATTTTGCTCATAATGAGTAACTATCAGCATGTACCTATTTGTAGTTCTCTGAAACATTTGCATTTCTCCACACGTACACTGCTTGCTGTCTATAAATATGAAATACATAATGGCTCAAAGGACTACTGTTTCATTGTTTGGTATTATGTATTTCAATGTTTGATCATTTTTCTTTGCCATAGTAATTAAAAACAATGTGTTGAAAGTGAATTACTCAGTTGCTGTGCCTTACGTTGACATCAGACCTGCCTACTACCCTCAAAGTGCTCCTCCCAGAGAGAGGCTGCCTTTCCCAGGAAAGCCTGGCTCCAAATCATAAAAGCTGCCAAAGAGCACATATCAATTCTCCACAATTGGACTCCTCTTCCTGTGATTGATGCATAGTCGATACCATTGTAAGTGCTCTGTAAATTCCTGTTCCTCTTCGTCGCTGTCGCAGTGTGACTGATAGGACAGCGAGCACACTGCTACTTTTGAGATGCCTTGATTACTGCAGTATCTGAAGGAAGAAAGAAAAGGAAAGGAAAAAAGGGGAAATGGAAAGATTGCCAAAAACGAGACTAAATCCTGATCATTACCCCAGAAAGAATAAAGTCAAGACCAAGCCAAAGATCAAAATAAATGTGCATCCATTAATACAAATAAAGAACCAGTGCTCACTAAGTTTCTATGAATCACAGTGCAACCATAAATTTACTTCGGAAGTTTTCAAATAGCAAAGCTAGTATCAGAGTTAAAAAGCTCAATATTATGATTACATGTGTTTCACGATAATTTTAAAAAATGGCTGTTGTATTTCCCTTGTGTCTTTC